TGGGTTATTACTGCAGTGTTTCCTTGTATCTAGTAACTCGATCCCAATAACAATCAACAATGACAATCAACAATGACAATCAACAATGACAACAAAATTATTACAAAAGAAAGTTATCCACTGAAATAATCTCTGGGCGCCGATGTAATACAATGATGACGTAAGACTAGATAACTACAATGTGGTATACACGTATGTTTACAGTGTTGCTCCATATCAGTGTCATGTGACGCAAATGATCAATGCGTATTCCTCCACCATGAAAATAGGAGTTCTCACAACTGCCCTGCATTACAATTGGGTGTCTCCAGTGGCGTGTTCTTGACCCTTGTAATGAAATAAGCGATACCGCTGCGGGCATGTCTTTGTGATTTCCAAAACACTTACTTCTTGCAACAACAAAGGAGTTCCCTAAGGTTGCTCTGCTGTGCTCTGCTTCCAGTCTTAAATTTATTAAGGATTGAAATTCTGAAAAGAACAAGTAACAATCAGGTAAAGATTGTTATAATTGTTGACTTTATTTTTCCCAGTACCAAAATTTATATTCTTTGACTTCATCTAATATTTCTACCGGTTACCACGAAGGATATCTCAATAGTTTTTTTTTTTTTTTTTTTTTGGTGTTGTTTTTTTTCTGAAATATTGCATTGCCTTTCTAAGAAATAGTAGTGGTAATAGAATAATGTTTGTGTATTTTTTGTTTGCTTTATTTTTTTATTTTTTTTTTTTTTTTTTTTTTTTTTTTTTTTGGTGTTGTTTTTTTTCTGAAATATTGCATTGCCTTTCTAAGAAATAGTAGTGGTAATAGAATAATGTTTGTGTATTTCTTGTTTGCTTTCTTATATTGGCGGCTTTCAATTGGCAGCTTTCTATTGGCAGCTTTCCACTGGCAGCTTTCTATTGGCAACTTTTTATTGGCAGCTTTCTACTGGCAGCTTTCCACTAGCAGCGTTCCACTGGCAGCTTTCTATTGGCAGCTTTCTATTGGCAGCTTTCCACTGGCAGCTTTCTATTGGCAGCTTTCTATTGACAGCAATTTGTCTTCAGCCGCCATGTCATCACATAATGCGTCAAATAATCCTAAAATTATAGTTTTATCATTCACATAGTCCATACATGATGAATTAATGACATAGTCTACACATAATCAATTAATGACATAGTCCATACATGATCAATTAATGACATAGTCCATACATGATCAATTAATGACATAGTCCATACATGATCAATTAATGACATAGTCCATACATGATCAATTTATGACATAGTCCATACATGATCAATTAATGACATAGTCCAACAATTTGGAACGCCCTTCCAGTCGATCTCAGAAACAATCAGACACTGGAGTCCTTTAAAACCGATTTAAAGACACATTTATTTCCCAAACAATTTCTGGGATGATTGTCTACCATATTTTCCATTTAATACACATTAGCTTGTTGCTCAGGGTTGAAATGGGTAGAAAGACTTTGACATTGTATTCTTGTAATTAGTTTTGTAGTGTTTCGTTTGTTTTAAATGTGGTAAATTTTACCTTTTTTTGTTTTTACTCTTGTACCGCGTTTCGAGCCTTTGGGGATGAAGCGTGTTTTTCAAATACACTTTATTATTATTATTATAATACATGATCAATTAATGACATATTCCATACATAATTAATTAATGACATAGTCCATACATGATTAATTAATGTCATAGTCCACACATGATCAATTAATGACATAGATCTATATTACATTCATTTGATGGCAAGAAGCTCAAGGCGAATGAAACAAAATACAAACTTACCACACGATGTTCCGGACATCAAAAGAGCGGCAAATAATTGCTCATTATGTCCTAAGTCACCTTCTCCACATCTCGTGTGAGTTATTTGATATCGGTTGTTTGTTGTTTTTTTTTGTTTTTTTTGTTTTTTTCCCATAGAAATAGTCCTTGATATTCACAGTTTAGCAAGATCTTGTATCTTCAAAATATGTCTATTAAAATAGTTTGGCCTTGTTTATAGCTTTTTAATGTAATGTTTCATTTTTTTAAAATGTTAACCAGTCACATGGCGTTAGATAACAATATCAAACTGCTAAATAGCATCAGATTACCAATTTGAAACTGTGAAATTGCGTCAGATTACCAATATCAAACTGTCAAATACCGTCAGGTTACCAATATCAACCTACCACATAAAATAAGATTACCTAAATCAACCTACCACATAGCATCAGATTACCAAAATCAATCTACCACATAGCATCAGATTACCAAAATCAATCTACCACATAGCATCAGATTACCAAAATCAAGCTACCACATAGCATCAGATTAAAAATGTCAAACTGCCACATAGCATCAGATTACCAATGTCAACCTGCCACATAGCATCAGATTACCAATATCAACCTACCATAAGCATCAGATTACCAAAATCAATCTACCACATAGCATCAGATTACCAATATCAACCTACTACATAGCATCAGATTACCAATATCAACCTACTACATAGCATCAGATTACCAATATCAAGCTACCACATAACATCAGATTACCAATATCAACCTACTACATAGCATCAGATTACCAATATCAAGGTACCACATAGCATCAGATTACCAATATCAACCTACTAGATAGCATCAGATTACCAATATCAACCTACTACATAGCATCAGATTACCAATATCAACCTACTACATAGCATCAGATTACCAATATCAAGCTACCACATAGCATCAGATTACCAATATCAACCTACTACATAGCATCAGAGTACCAATATCAAGCTACCACATAACATCAGATTACCAATATCAACCTACCACATAGCATCAGATTACCAATGTCAACCTGCCACATAGCAACAAATTACCAATATCAACCTACTACATAGCTTCAGATTAACAATATCAAACTGTCAAATAGCATCAAATTACCAATATCAACCTACCACATAGCGTCAGATTACCAAGCTCTTTTTGTTGCGTACATCGTATGGTGTCTTTATGCTAGAGACAAGCTTTAATATTTAAGTTTGTTTCTAGCATCGTACATTCCTTCCAGTTTTATGTGCAGATTGACAACTTAAGATTCGTGGTCGTAAACTTGTCTTTGACCCACCATCTGGGTAAAGCTGGTCTAGATGACAGATCCGCATGGGGTTGAGTGGTGGCAGCTTTCCTTTGTTCCCATTTTATCCCTTAAGACAAAATTCATTTGTTTTTTCAATCATTAGTTTTTGAATCCCCTACCCACTGACGGTCTGTCACAACTAAATTATGCTCGACCGAAGCAATAACGTGAGACTAAAGGTGCTATTAATTAATATGATATTTCCTTGCTCTTTTGATTCTACATATGACATCACCCCTGATCTATTATCTGATCGATAATTATGACCTCTGTGATGCCCCCTGCGCATTTTTCCCAGAAAAAAAAAATCTGTTATTAATTAGTAGACATCCGAATGTTTAATTACACACATTTCTCCGTCCGCCTACTGCAATTATATTTTCGTTTAAATCCATCCGCCCCCTGTAAGACTAATTGTTGTGTAATTATCTATTTCAACACACTGTTTATATTATAACTTTAAAAAAAATATTTTTTTATTCCATTATAACATTTCAATTCAGACAAAATCGTTCTAAAAAAAACCTGTTATAATCTCCCTTGTTATGTGTAGTACATCAATGGGTATTTAGTAGTGGCACTATGGCCAGTAATTAAAGGGCCAGCACTGCATCATTGAAGCCGGAAGTAAGCGTAAAAAAAAATTTCAAGACTGCACACGGATAATTAAATTGAACCAGCCACCAACATTAGTCGTCATCAAAGTAGATTAAAGATTGAACCAGCCACAAACATTAGTCGTCATCATAGTAGATTAAAGATTGAACCAGCCACCAACATTAGCCGTCATCACAGTAGATTAAAGATTGAACCAGCCACCAACATTAGCCGTCATCACAGTAGATTAAAGATTGAACCAGCCACCAACATTAGCCGTCATCACAGTAGATTAAAGATTGAACCAGCCACCAACATTAGCCGTCATCACAGTAGATTAAAGATTGAACCAGCCACCAACATTAGCCGTCATCACAGTAGATTAAAGATTGAACCAGCCACAAACATTAGCCGTCATCACAGTAGATTAAAGATTGAACCAGCCACCAACATTAGCCGTCATCACAGTAGATTACAGACAGTAAGGGACTGCTTTTTCTTTGCTTTGTTAATTGAGTGTGCACTGCCTTGAATAAGGTGAAATATTTTGTTAAGGCAAGGATAAACCTCATATTAGAAAACACTTGGAGTTTTGGTTGATTTGACACGTTCACTAATAAACAGAGAACGATGTATCTATTATGTTGAGACTTGTATCAAAAGTAGTTTTACAAGGAGCAGACTGAAATAAAACTCACAAACATTACTGGAAGTCTTTTGGTCTGCGCACTAGTTAGGTGCAGCACTATTTGTATTAAGGTTAAGATCGGGTAAATATATATAGCAATAGGGTCAGCTGGAGTCTGGTTTGTCGACAAACATGTCCAGTCAGTACATATTTTACAAATGTGTCCACTGAGATAAACAAATGAGTGGACTGAGAACTAGATCAATAAAAAGTCCGCCAAAGACAAGGTAAACAAAAGTGTAAACTGAGAACTAGGTCAAAAAAGTGTCCATCGAGAACAAGTTAAACAAAAGTGTAACGTGGGAAAAAGGCCATCCAAATTTTCCATCAGAGAAAAAAGCAAACAAAAGTGTCCATAGAGAACTGTCATCAAAAAGGTCACCCAGAACGAGGTCACCCGAACGTTTCTTCTGGGAACAGTTTTGTCCACAGAAATGATCACGTAGATCCTTGCAGAAGCAAACACTAAGGAATGAACACAACAACCTGGCCTGAACGCATCACTCTAAACATTAACAATGACCAATCAGGGAATCTTGTTGCCTTCCCGACCTTGAGCGCCCAGTCGGCCGTATTCGATAAAATAGTGAGCGACGAACTCTTGGCCTACTTCGAAACTTTCATTAACCTCTGGCTCCTGACCCCTATCACCGGGTTTGGAGTGGTCACGAATCTGCTCAACATCTTGGTGTTTTGGAGACAGGGCTTCAAAGACGGGGTCAACATCTCCATGACGACCATCGCCTGCTGGGACTTGCTCAAATGTGGGACAGGACTCATCCATCGCATGTACGGACCGGTCGGTCTTGTGTCAACTGCTGCGGCTATTTCCTGGCAGAACATTACGTTTCCTGTCGCCTCCTACACTCCAATCTTTGCTGGCTACGTGTCTTACGCCCTCACCACATACGTCTCCATCGAGCGGTGTCTTTGTGTCAGTAAGCCCTTCACCGTCAAGGCGTTGTTCACGCCCAGGCTCACTTTTTGCGCCATCGCAACGATTTCCATTGTGGTTTTCGGCTCGTATGTCGTCATGTACTTCATCCACGAGATCGCCTTCGTTTTTGCGCCAAATTTTAACACAACCGTAGCCATCTACAGATATACCAGTTTCTTTTTTGCCAACCAGGCTATCGTCATGGTCTATTACAAATACGTTGGGATACTTCTGCCTTTTGCCAGCTTCACAGTGCTTTGCCTGTGTTCAGCTACCACAGTTTATCAACTGAGAAAATCCTCGAGATTACTTCACAAGGAGAAAAATGGAACTACTAGGAATTCTGAGTTTTCCCGAAAGATTAAATCGGGAATATCCCTTAGAGAGAAGCAAGTGGTCAAGATGCTCCTGGCTGTCGTAATGGTCAACATCGGGAACCTGTTTCCTAGGATCGTCTTCTACGTGGCACAGCTCGTCGAGCCTGAGCTGTATCTGCTGCGCCGGTACCACAACATGTTCGGTGCTGTCGCAGTGTGGCTGTTTGTTCTGGACATTCTCAAGGCGTCGATCAACTTCTTTCTGTTCTTGTCTATGGGTTCGCTTTTTAGAATCAAATTCTATGCTATGTTTGGCAGCTGGGGGAGGCCTGGTAAAATATGACAGTTGGAGGCTTGGTAAAATATGACAAATTGAGGCTTGGTAAAATATGACAGATAGAGTAAAACATGACAGCTCTCTATATAGAGTCATTGTTAGCTGTTTATGTCATTCTTTCTATAGCTTTGTTGACATTTTTTAAAATACAAATGTTATTGTAGCTAATTTGGGACCGTAGCTTAACCTTTTCTGTGGATACTTGTACCGAAGTATTAACATCTTAACCAATGTGTAACGAAATCCACTTTATTTAACAAACACGTTACTACATTTTAAATAACTTGTATCACGTCCTTTGTTAAGGCATACATTGACATTTCCGTATCACCTTTAAAAGACAGTTGGTGCAATCGCTTTGTCCTAATTCCTGCCTGTTTTGGATGTCAATGTAAATGCCAATGTCAATGTCCATGTAAATGTAAATGTCAATGTAAAGGTCAATGTAAATGTGTTCTAAAAGAAATTCTACTTTTTTAAATTAAATTATCAGGCCTCATTAGTATTCCACATTTTCATACTTAGAAGAAACATTTTAATTATTTTTTAAAATTCAGATTTAAAGTAATATTGATGATCCGGCACTTACAAATTGATTTTATCCCAAATAATGTAAGCTGGTCTTATCCTAGATAAATTGAGTTAGTCTTACCCTAGATAAAGTGAGTTGGTCTTATCCCAGATAAAGTGAGTTTGTCTTATCATAGATAAACTAAGTTAATCGTATTCTAGATTATGTAAGTTGGTCTTATCCTAGATAAAGTGAAATGGTATTTTCATAGATAAAGTAAGTTGGTCTTATCCTAGATGAAGTGAGTTGATCTTATCCTAGATAAAGTGAAATGGTTTTATCCTAGATAAAAGAAATTTAATTTTAGCATAGATAAAGAAATCATATTATCCTAGATTCTAGATAAAGCGAGTTGATCTTATCCTAGATAAATTAAGATGGTTTTATCCGAGGTCAAGCAAGTTCATCTTATCCTATATTAAAAAAAAATTTCATCTTACCCTTCTTAAAACGTTGATATTCTCTCACATCTGGTTGAGCCGGACATGTTTCATTTGTATTTATTAGTTTGGTAGTTGCGATTTTTTTTGAAGTGTCAGATACCTGGTCCCCGTCACCCACTTCGCTAACGCCCTCAAATGAACCAATTACAACAGTGGTTCTTAAGCCTTTTGAAACGCTGCACCTCTTTTTGATTTTACAAAATTCTTCTTGCAACTTATATCGATTTTACCCTACAATAAAGATACATATCAATCAGGTTTTATCTGAGTTCCCATGCACCCCCCCCCCTCCTGACTCTCACTCTTACATCCCAAGGAATTGGAGAACATCTGGTTTAGAGCCACTAGCTTACATGAAGGCTTACTGGAATTCTTTACTTTAATGCCTTATACCCACCCCTGGCATAAACCTCGTATTTGAACACATATAATTCTTTCATGTGGCAGTCATCACACACCTATTACCAAGCTTTTAGAGTGCAGTCATCACACACCTATTACCAAGCTTTTAGAGTGCAGTCATCACACATCTATTACCAAGCTTTTAGAGTGCAGTCATCACACACCTCTTACCAAGCTTTTAGAGTGCAGTCATCACACACCTCTTACCAAGCTTTTAGAGTGCAGTCATCACACACCTATTACCAAGCTTTTAGAGTGCAGTCATCACACACCTCTTACCAAGCTTTTAGAGTGCAGTCATCACACACCTATTACCAAGCTTTTAGAATGCAGTCATCACACACCTATTACCAAGCTTTTAGAGTGCAGTCATCACACATCTATTACCAAGCTTTTAGAGTGCAGTCATCACACACCTCTTACCAAGCTTTTAGAGTGCATTCATCACACACCTATTACCAAGCTTTTAGAGTGCAGTCATCACACACCTATTACCAAGCTTTTAGAGTGCAGTCATCACACACCTATTACCAAGCTTTTAGAGTGCAGTCTTCAAACACCTATTAATCATGCATGAGGTCATGCTGCTATGTTGCGAAAGCATAATCACCTGATAATAAAGTGACCTCTGCTAAACAACATGAAAAAAATTGTTACCCATGAAATGTGTTGTTTTTTTATTTTCTTAAGTTTTACAGATTCTCTGGTTATTATTGTTACCAATCTATATCAGAATTGAATTAAATTAAATGACTAAATCGATCTAAATGTAAGGCTTGTGTTAAACTGTGATCAAAAATAGAGAAATACGAAGAATATTTTAAGTCATGAAACTGAAATATTTCTACATACCGGGACACCAAGAGATGGAAACTAGCAGTCCTTATTAAGCCGGGTTGTAACATCTTCATCCTTCCATCTCCTGCATCGCTCTGAACACATGATAACCGATTCATGGTCTGTCACATTAAGAAAATTTGTCTACTGTCTGTAGCTTTGACCAACGCATTGTGTATTACTGGCATCCACATTGCTCCTTTAAACATAATTTTAGATTTAGAGCAAAAAATTGTTGACAACTGTTTCTGTGCTTTCTAAACTGTCTGTGACAGCAACACCCAGTGACACCAACACACAGTGACAAAAACACCCAGTGACACCAACACACAGTGACACCAACTCCCAGTGACACCAACCCCTAATGACACCTACACCCAGTGACACCAACAACCAGTGTAACCAACATCCAGAGACACCAACACCCAGTGACACCAACACTCAATGACATCAACACCCAATGACACAAACATCCAATGACACCAACACTCAATGACACCAACACCCAGTGACACCATCACCCAGTGACACCCACACCCAGTGACACCAACATCCAATGACACCAACACCCAGTGACACCAACATTCAATGACACCAACACCCAGTGACACCATCACCCAGTGAGACCCACACCCAGTGACACCAACACCCAGTGACACCAACACCCAATGACACCAACATCCAATGACACCAACACCCAATGACACCAACACCCAGTGACACCAACACCAAGTGACACCAACACCCAGTGACACCAACACCCACTGACACAAACACCCAATGACACCAACCCCCAATGACACCAACATCCAATGACACCAACACCCACTGACACCAACACCCAGTGACACCAAAACCCAGTGAAACAAACACCAAGTGACACCAAATTCCATTGACACCAACACCAAATGTCACCAACATCTAATGACACTAAATCCCATTGACACAACATCCATTGACACCAACACCCAATGACAACAATATTCAATGACACCAACACCAAGTGACACCAACATCCAATGACACAAACATCCAATGACACCAACACTCAATGACATCAACACCCAATGACACAAACATCCAATGACACCAACACTCAATGACACCAACACCCAGTGACACCATCACCCAGTGACACCCACACCCAGTGACACCAACATCCAATGACACCAACACCCAGTGACACCAACATTCAATGACACCAACACCCAGTGACACCATCACCCAGTGAGACCCACACCCAGTGACACCAACACCCAGTGACACCAACATCCAATGACACCAACACCCAGTGACACCAACATCCAATGACACTAACATCCAGTGACACCAACACCCAGTGACAACAACACCCAGTGACACCAACAGCCAGTGACAACACATGTGACACATTCCTAGACACACTATTTTATAAAAATATCAGTTAAAATAAAAGTTTAGAGTATTCTGCAACGTTGATCATGACATCACCCGGGCGTATACTAAAGTACGGTGTGCAAACTTGTAAGTCATGTGAAACCTACGATGGCGAATAAATTCTGTCCAATTATGATTGAAATATCTGTTTCTCCTTAGCTAAATTACTTCGATGTTCTCTACTAATAAATTCGACTATTTGAAGGAATAAAGTGTCTATTTTTAGTTCAATCTATTCAGTAACATGCCTGACCCAAGGATCACTAAATATTCTCTTAACCCTCTATGGTGCTCTATACTTAACATTTTTTTTTAATCTTTCAAACACAAGTCCAAATAGGACATTAATTAAGGTTCAAACGTTAATTTTTATGTTGTTTTGTTTAAATGATGCTTTTGTAACAAGGTTGCCAAACTAGCACCAGTGTGCCGTTCTGCGTGGATAACTGCAATGTTGCCAAATGGAAACAGATCAATGTCCAGTTCACCCGTTAAAACCAAAATTTAAATGGAAATATTTTCAGTGAAATGAGAGAACACGTTTCAACATTACACCAACATTTCATTGAGGTCTTTACAAAGATTTTTTTTTTTAAACTAGTTTTATAGCAGATGCTACTTTCTAAAGCCAGATTTTTCTGTAAGACACTTCTGCATATTACATTCCTCACATTTTATCCTGACATAGATTTAACAGCCAGGCATTTTGCATCGAACTCTGTCAGGTACAGGTAGAAAAACAAAAGTGGCCTGCATTGTCAGTTTGAACAGAACCAAAGGGCAGCTTCAGCCCTGGGACCTTTAAGTTGTATGGCTCAAATCTGTGGCTCACTTTCTATTGAGGGTTTGCCATGTTGGTGTTTTTTTTTAATTTTTAAAAATTGTTAAATTTATTAATACAAATTTTTGCTTCTAGTAGTCCTGAATGCTTGAAATATTGACCATAAATCAGCCATGACTAAAGACAGCCAGGTCAATGATAACAACAACCAGGTCAACGATAACAACAACCAGGTCAACGATAACAACAGAAAGGTCAGCGATGACAACAGACAGGTCAAAGACAACAACAACCAGGTCAAAGATAACAACAGACAGGTCAAAGATAACAACAGACAGGTCAAAGATAACAACAAACAGGTCAAAGATAACAAAAGACAGGTCAAAGATAACAACAGCCAGGTCAAAGATAACAACAGATAGGTCAAAGATAATAACAGACAGGTCAAAGATAACAACAGACAGGTAAAAAATAACAACAGCCAGGTCAAAGATAACAACAGCCAGGTCAAAGATAACAACAGCCAGGTCAAAGATAACAACAGCCAGGTCAAAGT